ATCAAAATAGCGAGAAATCGATTGTAGATTGAAATTCTCTCACCACGGCCTACTTTCGCCAACCTATATGGAATATCGTTATTTCCTCGAAAAACACTTTCGCTCGTGAAAATTGGCCTGGACCAGTAACCGTACCTACGGTCATTGTCATCGTTGCGGGTGTGGGTGAGGGTGCAGATGGCTAAGGTTTGAGTGTAGGTGTGGCTTTTTGGATGTGGATGTGATACGCCGGCTTGAGTGTACGTAGATGTGTCTGTAAGTGTCGGTGTCGTTGAGCAGAGTATCTACACACCACTCACACCCACACCTACATTCCACACTCATACGCATATTCCCACTCTCATGTGCAACACACTCATCGATTCCGATTTATTCAATGTTTGTTGTGTCTAATACTTTGTTTATGTTTCTTTTATATATAACAATCAGTGGCTAGATACTCAGTACAATGCTCAGTATCTTTGGTACTTTTTTCTGAAAAATTTCAAATACTAAGTCCCTTTTTGTAGTACAAGTAGATTTATTTGTACTGAAAAAGTGTACTTAAGTGCTGGGCACTGAGCACAAATGTACCTAAGTACATGCATACTTAATATTGGTACTCAGTGACAATGTAGTTAAGTATCTTACTAGTACAATTATGAGTAATTCGGTACCGATACGACCTATAATATATTTTAGCATCGGTTGTAAATATCGGTGGTGTTAAGTGAGGATTGCTATTTGACACACTTACACCATTCGACTTTCGTTTTAATTAAGAAGCTCTCGCTGCGTATCAAAATTTGTAATGGGTTCGGGCAGAATGACGCAAAACAGTTGGATCACTTGGTCCATATGGGTTTTTACCGATTAGGAGAAATGGTCAATATATATATATTGCCTTGATAAAACGTCTTTAGACAAAAGTTTTATATTCTTATCAAAATAAAATAAGAGCACCGCTTTTAAATATCATTTATCTATTTTTTGCTAGTCATCATTGTTTTATGTCTCTCATTGTATTGTTTTTTTTAATCCTTTGATAACCATAGTCAAAACTATTATATGAACTTGGTCTCTTCATTTAATGTAGGAGCCTTTGTCAGAGGTCAAGCTTAATCTTAGATGTTTATATCTAGAATAAGTAGTAGTTTCTTTGATACAAAAAGAACAGAAAAATGTAGAACTCAACATGAGTGTCAACTGTCTGGAATGTAATACCTCATATCCCATTAGAAAATGTCAATTGTGAAACTTTCGAACAGTTTACAGACTGGGACACTGAAATCTGATATTTTTCTCAAGAGATTGTGAAAATTCAAGCAAAATTGCAAAGAAAATGTTTTATACAAACATCATCGTAGGTTGGTGAAAAGAAACTAATAAATCTGTCAGTCTTCACTGATTTCAAAGATTTGTTGACTTGACTAGTGAGAGGCCGGATCGGTTGAAAACTTGTAGATTGACCACAACTCTGATTTACGGTTGTCCTTGGGTGGTGTATTTGTATACTTTCAGTCTCTGATAAAAATGAATTAAAAGTAGCCGAATTCTTTTGACTGTTACAGTAATGACGATATTCCCTCGAATGTAGGGAAGATCATATGAAATAAAATGCGGTTGTATGAGTGTGTGTGTATGTATCAGGGTCAAAGGTCAAAAAAACATAAAACGATGCCATTCTTATTTTTCGAGCTGGAAATTCAGTCAATTAGAGGTTTTCGATCCAAAAGCAACTTCAAAAGGTGTCTTGTTAATACTTTTTGCTATGCTAGTGTTAATAGCTAGCATCACTGGGCCAAGTCCAGAGGGTCAATCATACGAATTGTTCGTACTTAACCACTTACCAAGAAGTTGTTGAACGACAGAGTTGCCCCTCTCTACCAACCCCTGGGACTGAGGGTGTCTTGGTCGTCCATTGATTATCACTAAACCTGGCTAAATTTTTGTTAAATCTGTGATCACCTTTGCTGCAAACTCTCGACCATTGTCGGACTGAAGTATTTTCGTTGGACCAAATTGATAAAAGATTGACTGTAATATATTTGCTATATTAATAGCTGCTTTGAATGCCATTGGGAATAACCACGAATATTTAGAACAATTATCTTTTGCATGAAATATCCACTTAAAACCATTAAATTCATTACTCCTCATATCAATTAAATCCATCTGTATTCTAGTCATAAAACCTATAGATACTATTGGTTTCCGAACAACTCGTTTAGGAAAAGTTTTTCGTGATGCACATTGATCATATAAACTAATAAACAGCTTGATTAATTGAAGTGGTATCTGCGCATTTCGGCGTTTAACCTAAATTGCGAAAACATGTTTAAAAACACGAAACAACCTGCCCATGGCTTACTTCGTGCCAGGTTTTATCTCTTCCCAGGTGTCCGACAGATAAATAACATTCATGGAGAGTTTCAAATAGATTCTCATATTTTACAATTGGTAATTTTTCTTTTGCTGAATACACCACGGATTGATCATTAATTTTAACAATAGTAAAACGTTTTTTTGTCCAAGAATTAAATTGAGGAACGTACTTTGTTCCAGTTGAGAGTGCTTTTACAATTTTTTCATATACTTCAGCTGTTATCAAATACTTCGCTTGTCGTTTAACATCCAACTTATTTAAATAAGCATCTAACTTTGAGTAAAAAGCCACCTTTATTATTAAATGTGATGATGGTTCAACAATTAATAAATAATGCTTTGTTAAATTCAGATCGAAAAGTTTCCACTAGTTAAAAAACCATTTATTGTCGATTAGTGCATAACAAATTTATAATTATACATTTTAAGGTCAACTGGTTGACTTTAAAATTAAAGAGTCAACTAGCTCCATCCTAGTTGACTTTTCAA